AGGAAGGAAGGAAGGAAGGAACCGACCTGCACCTTACGACTGCGGCCTCCCTCACTCTTCCCCCACCACATCTCGGGGTCATCGGCCCTCCGCGGAGCCAAGTCGGGCAGGAAGCACGGAGTGGCGGCAAGCGGGACGTGAGGGGTGAGGGGGAGAAGAGGGCCTGTGCGGCGAGGCAGCTTACCCAAGTGGCCCAGCAGTCAGGGCGCAGACTGAAGCCAGAATCTGGACAGTTGTATGCCGGGCTCCCTGGTTCCAGCGGCGACTGCAATTACAGGAATTGCACGCGGTGGTAGTGGCGGCACCAGCGGCTGAGCGGTGCACGGGAAGAACGGAGCCGCCACAGGTCCAGCAGCACATGATTCGGGCGAGGAGGCTGTCCGCGCTGAGTCGGCTACGGGGTCTCGACACAGACAGGGACAGCCACGCAGGGAGCCTGGCCTGACATGCGAACCGGATCCCGCCTGTACCAGCATTCCATGCCGCGGGGATGGCGCTGCTTCCTTGCACATCGACGAGGCAGAGAGCACCGGCCAGCACGCAGAGGCGGCGGGACCAGCGGCGGGAACAAGAGAGGGCTCAACATGCGTGCGCCACTTCTGCACAGCAGCGAACCTGTTGAAGTTCAGCCTCTAAGTCATCGCGCAGCATGTTCACAAGAGGGGCGAGCGCGCGCCGCGGCGTGCCCGGCCAGGACCGACAAAGGGGGCAAGCACGGGCTGAGGGCCACTGCGGACCCGCTCAGTCCAGCTCCCACCAATAGCAGGCTGACAGCGGAAGGCCATGGCAGAGAGATCATGCGGTGTGTGGTCAGTGGGTAGCGCCCAGCGGTACCAGACAGCGGAAGGCCATGGCAGAGAGATCATGCGGTGTGTAGCGCCCACTGGGCGTAGAGAGGGCAGGCCGAAAGACCTCCGTGATGAGCCTGGTGTCCAGTCCAGGATCGCGATGAGGTCGTGGTCGTCGATCTGGTCCGTAACATCTCCCAGGGCCGTCAAGGCCATAGCTCCGGATTTGTCCTCGTAGCGAGTTCCTCGAAGTAGTTCTTCAGAGCTTGTTTCCCCGAGAGCACTATTGCGGTTGATGTTGTCAAAGACCCACGTTCGGTAGGAGAGGTCGGCACAGGCATCTTCTGCGTGTTTCCCGTGCTTGCAACGCCCCACTTCCACATTTTTTGTTCTCTAGCCTTTTTTAAGTTTCGGTAGAGCTCCGAGTCCCCGCGCCGGCTCTCACTCCATGTGATCTTGCGGTACATGGAGTTCCGGGCGGCATTGGGGACGCTATTGCTGTCGGAGGAGAGTACTTGTAGATTGTAGAAGAGCTTCCGGTACGGCCCCAGGTAGCAGCTGCGGCGATGGAGAGGTCGAGTGCCTCATGAAATCGTTGCACTGGCACTTCAGTTCCCCGATCCAGCTCCTGGATGAGTCTCATCACGAGGTCGTTGAAGGTCTGGAGGATCCCCGGCATGCGCTCTATCTGTATGTCGACGCTGTCATCAACAAAGTGTGGCGAGCGTTCACCTGGCGGTCGCCATGTTGCTGCCGGGCTTCAGGCGCATAGGCTGTGGATCCAGAGACTCCTGCATTCACAGGTGCTCTCGGTGACCACAGTCACGACATGTCCTGATCCGCATCGATCCATTGGAACCGCGCCAAGCGGCCGAGTGGTGTGTGTCGTGCTCGCGGACGTCGCTGGGTCGTTCCTTGTGATCCCGTCGGGTTCTCGAATCACGAATCCACAGTCCCTGCACTTGACTTGGTCTATGGTCAAGCCATGATATGCCATGATCATGATCTCCTGCATCTCAGGGTCATCCGCTATCATTGGCAGCCATTCAGCCATTGTCCATGCTCCGGCGACTCCTCGCTCAATAGACCGACCACCACTGTCATCCTCGACACCACATTTCCAGCCCCGATGGCTCTGGTACGACACGCATAGATGGCATAATCGACCAGCCAGCTCTCGCCCTCGAAGGAGTCGTCGACGCTCCACCTGTGGGGTCATGCCAGGGTGGGCTGTCGAGTGGCTGCAGCCTCCGTTCTCGGACGATTTGGTCCTTTGCCTCCGCCTCTTCTGCCCTTGCCCTTCGACATTGGGCACTCGTATAGTCTCCTGACCAATAACCAACCGCTCCGCACTGCTTGCACGTCGTTCTCGCCTTGAGTGCACCTGCACGAAGACGGGCTCACTTATCTCCGGTGAAATCGAGCCACTGATCTCGAACGGGGAGATCGTTGTTCTTCGCGAAGCCGCCGTGGCCCTTGCTTTGATCAGCTTTTCTCGCGAAGTAGGCATCTTGCTCAGACTGAATCAGCTTTGAGTCGCCTTCTGACAAGAAGGCCACGTGCATCAAGCGCTCCTCAGCGTAGGTGCCCACGTCCGGCTCGCTGAAGTAGGCGTAGTTCGTCGCTGTAGGGAGCGTCCTCGTTCTGGTAATCCATGCTCTCGTCGTGGCACTGCTCGTCGGCGCCATCCTGCTAGCAGGAGTCATCGTCCTGGCCGTCCGCGTGGAAGTCGTTGTAGTAGCTGGCTTCTGGGCAGAAGCCCTTCGGCTGCCCCTTAGGAGGCTGTCCCGGCTTCGCAAAGACTCGAAACTCCGTCCTCCGGTACTGGCTGTGCCTAAGGTGCTTTTCTCTTGAATCCGGGGGTGTTCTGGTTGACCAGCTCTTCAGCCATGCGGTCGAAACTCATCTTGTCTCCGACCACCGTCTTATCATCCCCCTTTGATCGTCATTCAGCCCGGAGTTGAGGAAGAGCTGTTCGCTGAAGACCAGGTCCGGGAGTTTCAAGTCCGACGACAGGTCTGTCATATCCCTGTACCACGCTCTTCGGCGCAATACATATTGCGCCATAGACTCCGCCGTCTGCCTGGTAAGGATCCCGCCCTGTTGTGCGCCAGCCTTGTAAAGCTCTCTCGCCTGTTGCATCCTGCGTGGCCTCAATTCCGTGGTGAGCTTCTCTATCAAGTCGCCGAGGCCACCTTCAGCATCAAGCTTGCTCAAGCCAAGCTGCTGGGAGATCTTCAGGGCCTTCCACCAGCCGCAGGGTGAGGCTGCCCAGTTTCTTGGGTTCCGTCTCGGAGATCGACTTCTCCCTCTCATGCTCTTATGTAGCTAGTCAAAAGAGTGCAAGCCGCAGGCCCTCCTTTTTGGCTTTGCGAAAATGCTGGGCAGCAGATTCCTTCAATCCGGGCGGGCGGGCGGGGCTTCAAAAAGTGGCCCAGCACCCACGATGGAACAGCTTGGGAGATTGCCCAACACAGAACAACACGTGCAGTGCTGCACTGAACTGCATGTGATGTACAAGCTAAACGATATAGTGTACAAGCTGCATGCGCAGAGAGAGACGGGTGTACTGCCAAGCCCAACCCAAGCCGGTACACCCGACACCTCTGGGCCACTCAGTCAATCTCGAAGCATCTCGATTGAAGCGTGGGATGCCATAGCGGCTCTCGGTAGCCGCACCTCCGGACTCATCTTGATCACAGATGAACCGGGCAAAACGAAGGCTGTGGAGGAGCGATCCTGCAGCCATGGCATGTATGGGCTCGCGAAAGGTCGCGCTTGCAAAGCGGATTTCCGCTCCGCTACCGTTGCGAGAACACACTGGCAACGGGAATGACTATTGCACTCGCTTGACCTATCCGGTGTTGCAATGTGCGCTGAGGTCAAACAGTTGGCATGTGCATTCGGCCATGTCACATCGACACTGTACCTGCGACAGACCACTGATTTCACATCTGATGAATAATGTGACTTCCGAGCGAGAACAATGATACAGCGTGCCGACACACCCGTTGTAAACAAAGGCCACACGAGAGCTTTGATTGACACCTTTGGCAAAACCATTTCCTGAAGCAAGCCGGCCCCATGTTGCTGCAGGCCCGAGTGTGTGATCAAGTGATTGAATTTCACCGCCCAAGGTTCAGTCAGGGTGCCTTCGTTAACGGTGCGGGATTAATTACAACTGTCAACGGACGCTCCTGAGTCTTCTGTCGAGTGTCGGTGAAGTAGTGACCCGAACCAAAGTCCCGTGGTGTAGCACCTGTCCAACCCACGGCAGGCCTTGCACTCTGTGAGGGCTTTGGCAAAGTCCAGCAGAGCCTTCCAAGCTCGAAAAACGCGGACATTGTCGAATTGCCGGGAGATCTCGGATACTGCTCTATGCAAACAACATGCCTGACGTGCAGGGCTTTGGGCTTCGACCAGCCTCCACGAAGGACAACGTGCAGCACTGCAAAGTCTCCAAACCTCGTGAGAAAGCTCGCAAAGCATCTCACGGTTTCCCTGTGGCTGCTGGATTCTGGCTAAAGGCTCCTCTGCAAGCATCAGGCGCGGCCTCTGCTGCCAAGAACCCTTTTCTTGGATGTCGCAGCAAGGGCAAAACTTTCCAAGCAAGGAGACCATTATGGTCATCGCAAAGATCGGCTTTGCAGAAGGCGTGGCTGCGCAGAAGCGTTGGTGCTGCTCCAGTGCTCGGCGCTCGTTGAAAGACCTGCCGCAGGCACAGCTGAGCGGCAAGTCCACGAAGGGCCTTAAAGCTTCTAGGTGGGCTGCGGCGGAGCTTCCAAGAGGCATAGACATGCCGCAAATCTCGCAAGTTCTGAAGCCAAGGCCAAAGCCATGGCTTCTGCCTCTGGACTTGGATCGCGTTCGGCCACTAGAGCTGTGGGCTGCCAGCCTGTGCTGGGTCAATGCCTCCGAGTCCCGAAAAGCTCTGCCGCAGCTCTCGCACTTGAGAGACTCGGAGCGATCTGCATATTTCAGAAGCTCGTGGACCTGACGCACATGCGTCTTTAAACCCTGTGCACTGGAGAAGGCCTTGCCACACTCTGCACATTCAAGAGCCTGAGTTGATTCGAGTCTTGCAGGCTTGCACGACAAAGCTGCTTCCATCGCATCGAACGCGGCGACATCGCCCTGGCCCGCCACATTCCACCGCAAATGGTACAGCCGACTTCGCACTGCTGCTCTTGCGGTTTTCTGTACATGCAAGCTTTGGAAAGACTTTCCAGTGCTGTTCCTCTTGCATTCGTAGCCTGCGAAAGCCGTAAGTTCAAAGGGGCTCTCAGCAAGATCAAATCTTTGTGCCTGCGCATGTTTGAGAAGTTGCCACCTCCTCTCTTGACCCTCCAACAGAGCGAGTACAACGACCCCGTTTGGTCGCAGAGATTTGGCTGCCCCGTCCAGAAAATGTGCCAACAGGCATCCATGCAGTTTCAGGTCCTCTGTGCCAAGATGTGGATGGTTCCAAGCCACGACGTCCCATTTCCTCTGCCAGCTTTCGAGCTGCAAGGCATCCACAGCAAATCGCACTTCTGCTGCTTCTCCGAATGCTCGAATTCTCGACAGAATGCCAACTGTTTCCGGGTACTTGTCCACAAGCTCCTCGGTTCTCCCTAGATCCCCTAGCCCAGCCACCTTCGAGAGCAACTTGCGTTCGAAAATCTTGCTTGCAGCCAAAGCGCGGCGTAGCTCTCGTAGCAGGTTGCAGTGAGCCGTAAGTTTCGGCATGCCTCTGGCGGCAGCTGCAGGTAGGCAGAGGCCACCCGCAGCCTCTCCTGGTAAGTCCGCTCGGCTTCTTCTTCGAACTCGTTCGGCTTCGTCGGAAAGATCAAAGCCAGCAAGGCCAGGGCAAAAGAAAAGTTGGCCTCGCCCAGTAGCAATACTTCAGGTCCTGAGCCTGCGAGCACCGCCCTCTTCTTTCGCCTGGCCATGGCCTGTGCTGCCTCTGCTCTGCTTCAGCAAACCCCGTGTCTGATATGAGCTATGGATTTCGAGAATTCTTTTATGCTGTATCATTGCCCACACCGTGCTGCGTCCCCGGCTCAAGGGTTCGGCTTTCTCTTGGAGGAGCCTCTCCACCTTGGCCGCGGAGCTTGTCTTCTGGGTGCCCGGCAGAAGCATTCGGGGCTGCTGCGATTTTGGGGAGGCTGTCCCAAAAACTCGAGACCTTCCAGGCCAAGCACCGCTTTGAAGCTCAGCTCTAAGTCGAACTCTCAGTTGCCATATCAGCCATCATGCCCCTTCGAACATGCTAGGATGCGCCCAAAAAGAACAACATGAATCTTTGGCGAATTTCTTCATGACTCTACTGTCTTCTGCATCCTGTGCAGGCGTGAGCACCCAGACCTACCGCACGCATCGCGATTACGGTCTTGATCTGCGGCTGCAGCAAAGCCCGAAATCCCTCATGTCGACAGCGCCTTAGGCGCGGTTTTCGTGCCGGCTGCTCCTTGGAGAGACGGATCTTAGTCAGATAAAGCGGGCAAGTTGTGTTGGGTGCCCTGCGTACCGGCCCGGGCTGGTTCACCGGCCCGGAGCAAAGAGTGAAGAGTCCACTCGAGGGCCGGCTTGGCGCCTATCCGAGTCAGTGCACTCACCCTTCCTTCATTCCTCGATACAGCCCATTACAAGTCGCTGTGCCTCGGCAGAGGATTCTGCTTGCGAGCGTGAGCTTGGCATCTTGAACGCTCGAGCCGAGGGGAGACTCAGCCTGCAAGCGCCGCTTTTCGGATTGGGATGTGCTAAAGCGAGTTCTTGCAGGCTTCTCAAGGACTCTCAAGTGTTCAATTGTTGACCATGTTCTGGTGTTGAGACTTGGGCCGCCTCAGGACCCTGCACCACGAAGGTCAAAAACATGAGAAGCAAGGAAAGGGTCGCAACGATGCATCAAACATGAAGTTTGACTAGGCTAGCTTCCACTTGCAAAGTCATCCACGAGATCACGGCAGGGCTTGACTGGCCGAGCAAAGCCTAAAGCTAAGGACGGCAAGGTCTGCAGGTCTGTCAATACAGCTGAAGCATGCAGAACTGATGATTTCCGACAACCGGGCCTCGCAAGGAACAACCTGCTGAGTCTGAATCTGCCTCCCATCTAATATAGGACGAAGAGCATGGACGCCCGCTGCCCTAGCGGGCACGGGAAGTCGAGCAACATCACCATAAGCAGGTGGCCCAGCTGGCAGCCAACGCCACCTTCACGGAATTGCAGACAGAGGTCGGAGGCATGCAGCGTGCTGCGGCAGCTCACAGCAACGCCCCAGTACCCACAAGATATACCTACATATATGCCCAGATCGGCCAAACTGGCAACAGTGAACGAAGCCGCTGCTAAAACTGAATAACAGTTCAAGCCCTGCCTGCCACGTGCACGAACTCATCCGCTGCACAATCAAGCGAACGCATTGCTCATGTATGTTCGAATACAGAGGAGTCCAGCGAGTAAACACACGGACAGACCGCGCCTGAGCGCACAGCCCCCTGGAGCAGGACTCCTACGAGCCTTAGATGACAAGCAGCGGACATCCGAGATGAGGGTGCGCCCGAAACCTTTTAAGAATCTCGGTGGAGGGGGGGGTGCAGCCATGATTATGATCTCGGAGTACCACCGAATACATGATAGGGTGGGGGGGGGGGGGGGGGGGGNNAACGGGAAGGGAGGGGAGGAAGGGGAGGGAAGGGGAATGAAGGATTCTGTGTCAAGTGGCTTCAAAACACTAGCTCGCTCTGCTTTGTTCCGTGTTGCTCGTCTCATGCTCATTCAACAGAGCTTAGTTAAGCTTTCTGGTGTTGGGATGGCAGCTGGACCCATTTCACACGGCATGAGCAAGCGGAACTGCCCAGAGCATCAGCTTGGGAAGACCTGAGATCTGGGGACGAAGTGAGCCTTCATGAGCTTGGAACAGGAAGCTTCTGGGGCCATGTTTCAGACCACGCCACATCTCAGACAAGACGCACACAATGGATGCGAGATGGAAATGGATCCATTGTTTTTCTGCTGTAACTATATTAAATAACAATAATAATAATTGGTATTATTACTATGACAATAATATATAATAATAAAAGAACAATACTCAATTATTATTATTATAAAGAAAAATAAGAAGAAGAATAGCAGCAATG